AGTGGCCATTAGCATCTGCATGTGTAGAAATATTCTGTCTTTTAGAATTCATCTAACTGTTGTGAGGTTTGTTCAATAAATTAAACAGAGAAAAACTAACCTCGGCTACAAGTTCCTTAGGTCTTCAAAGGTGTCATTAGGCCATGCCATTTGCCTCCTGAAGATCTGATATTTGAAACTCACCCTTATTTGTAGGGTGGAGAAGAGGGTGGTGACTCAGAATTTACCAGCTGTATAAAGGTCCAGGTAGAACATGGTTTAGAGTTTCTCAGGCATGTGGAATGTGCTACAAAACCTCCATCCTACTCTTGCTGTGTGAAAGTAAAAAGGAATCAGCAAAATTACAAGAGTAGACATGGCAGTGTCCAGTCAAAGTTAATATATACTGGCAGCTGACATAATTTGCTAACTGTTAATTTTGCTTTCCCTCTTCTTTCTGGGAAAATTCATTCAGGCATAATCTTACTCTGAGTGCCTATGTGAACAAAATACACTGGTAATTGGGGTTGAGGTTGGTATTAGGGCAGCTGTCCTTCAGCTTTCCCCATTATTCCAAGGGTATGGACACAGCGGAGCCTATGCTGTCTGCCAATTCTCTAGATCCAAGGCTGGTGAGTCATACTGTTACTCCCTGTAGGTCAGATTCCAGGCAGTCATTTGAAATTGTCCTTTCTTCCTCCCTTGAATATCTTTGAAGCTTAGGCCTGCTCTAAATATCACAAGCTCCTCACACAGGAAACCTCAGGAGTTCCCAGCTTGGGCTGATGTGCACAATGGCCGATGATTTCAGCAAGAGAATGGGAGAGGCCTGGAGGGAAGCCAGCCTAACCTGAACCTCAGGAAGCAGCTTCATAGATGCCTCCTATATGACCTGTTCCCTCCATCTGGGACTGCTGTTTAACTGTAAAGGGTGTCCTCACCTCACTCCAATTCTGGGCTGTATTGAGTCTGAGCATATCCAATTCCTGTGTGTGGTACGGAAAATTCTCAAGAACCTACTGCAGTAATGATTGTGGCACTAAGATCCCCACACTGTGCTCATGGACTTGTGTAAGTTCTCAGGGGCTAGAGTCAGCAGGAAACAGCAGCAGGTTTGACCATGTGTGCACAGCCTCCATTTTCCTGTAATCTCATGGACCATTGACTGACACTGATGGGAGGAGGCTGTTTAGAGACCCAGGGAGTAACTGGTCCTCACCCAGATCTGGAAGAAGTGGAAGGCATAGTCAGACTGATCTTTCTCTCTTTTAGCCTCTGTAGCCTCCTACACGCTCACTCAGCCACCATCAGTGTCAGAGACCAAAAATACAGTAAAAATCAGATGCTGTGCAGAAAAATTGGAGGATAAGTATGCTTGTTGTCACAGGAGAAGCCATACTAGGTTCCTCTGTTGGCATCTCATTCCTGATCAATTCATGATTCCAGCTCAGGTAATGTGACCACTCTGATCAACACCAGAGTTCAAGCAGTGACTATTATTGTGTTATAGTGCACAGCGCAGGGAGTAGCTTTTAGAGATTTTCAGTGGCACAGACAGATGAGGACATGAGGCCCAAACCTCCCCGTCCTTGGCTGTCACTATTATTCACCCCCCCATCATAATCCTGACCTTGGTCTCCACTGACTGAGACCCTACAGCAGAAGCGTGCAGAAGTTCATTTTGAGTGCAGCTCTCTCACAGAATTAGTTTCACTTTAAATCAAAATCCTGATACTTCAAGGCCCTAAAGAAACTAGATGACAGGTGCTGGGATCAAACAAATCTTCAGTGAAACTGGTTTCTGTGTAAGATCTAAAGATCACTTCCCTCTTTTTCAACACAGCATGCAGCAGGAAAAGGAGTTTCTGTGGAACTTTATGTTTCCTAGGATTTCCCCTAAGAAAGGGCACAGGCCTCTAAATATAACAGGATGTGGTGTGCAGGCTGAGATGAGCCTCTGTGCCAAGACAAACGTTTGGTGTGAGGAAGTAAGTAATTCTTCTGCGTGTGATTGGCAGTCTTACATATCACAGGTGTGAGGAAGGAAAGAAACAAGTTTAAGGTAAGTGATTCCATCAGAGACAGTGTGGCCTTGAAAGTAACCTCATAGGTCTAAGCTGAAATTCTGTGTGGGTTTGACATGACCACCAATTTCTACCCGATCATGCTTTCCTATACAGTACTGTGGAAAACTGTGCTGGATCCTGTTGAACACAGCGCAGATCAGCCCCTTTACTTTTTGACCAAGCACATGAGACAATTTCTTTGATGCCACCAATTTTGCCTGTTTAGGAGACATTATGACACATATGAAATCCTAGATGGGGTTGTAGGACTAGAGTCCTAGGCAGAAGCATAAGACCGCCTGGCTACATGGTGGGTACCAGATGGAGGGAAAGGAACAGGAACCCCTCCTCAGTGTCTTCACCCCAGGTTTCTCATAGTGGTTCCCAGTGGCAGGTCTGGGCCCACCTCTCTCCTACTTGGGTTCCCTCAGCCATGTCATCTTAGAAGCAACCAGAGAGTGACTGTGCTAAGCTTCTCCCAGATGCCCTATGTTACCTTGAAATTTCCCCTTGAACCCACACATCATTCCCGCCCCCTAATTATCACTGGAAAAATATCTCTGCTCTCTTAGTATAATTTGTATGCAGGACCCATTTCTGTTAGCCAGTGTCCATTCACCTCCCCACACACCACACTCGTATTATTAGAAGTAGACGTAGCTGCCTCCACACACTCCTGCAATGGGTTTCTTCAGTCCAACCCCATGGCAGCTCCTGAAGCACCATGTCAGGAAGGAGCCCATCTTGTAATGACAGAACTATGGCCGGTCACTGTGCAAACTTTCCACCAATTATCTGCATAGGACCTGAACTGGTGAGGTGCATTCCTGTGATTTCCTATTCACTGTGGTACTTTATCACTGGAAAAACTTATGTGACTCCTTGAGGTAAAAACAAAATAACCTAGATTTCTGTTACAAAGATAAAACTGGAAATGCATGATTTTGTTTTCCTGAAAGCCACTTTTCATCAAAAATTCTAACTTTTCGCTGCTTTTATTTAATTTGTGTTACTTAAAATCTTCAAAACATCTCAGTTCCAGCTACCACATCCAGATTCAAACATGCTCTGCTTCATTGTTTCATAGGGCAACATTTTCTGGAGAACCCCAGCCAACAGACCCTTATATTCATAGGACCAGGCCTTAGTCAATCTTATTGGGGCAGACCTTGGAAATGGGTCCCAATTTAAGAATCTGCAGGGCATCTTGCACAAACAGAAGATGGCGTGGATTGCCTGCTGAGTGCATAAACTCAGTGTGCCTACTGCACAGCTCCATGGACTGGACGGAGACTCCAGAGACCAAAGGACCTATCTTGGTCGTGATGAATTCCTGGGGTATAATTTTGGTCAGACAATAATAAATCAGAACTTTACCTGCTGAATAGGGATGAAGTGTCCCTGTCATGGCACAGTAGCCAACACCAACCACATGCACTGTACTCAAGGATTTGCATAATCCCTAAGTGCTGTGTCTGCCAGCGTGAAGCATCAATACCACCTTCATGACCACCCACAATCCCAGCAGGATGCACAGAGCTGTGTCAAGGGGGCCTTTACCTTCCTGCTCTAAATTAAGATGTTCACATACTCATGGTAATGTGGGTGCCTTGTGTCTGGTCTTGAAGGATGCAGGGGCCACACAGAGAAGAAAAATGTCTACCCTGGGGACAGCAGGCCATTGATCAGGGAATCACAGGCATGATTCTGAAACTGCACAGCGAAAATTAGGAAGCAGCTGATGCCCCAGCAGCCATGTGGAGTGACCACCAGGCGGCAGCAGAGTGTCACTTGGCAAAGCCACCTGGTTAGTCACCACTTTATATGAAATCTCCCTCAGCACAACTTCTTCCTGGGCTACCCCTGTTTCTTTCCTAAAAGCAGCTGCCAAATTTTTTCTCTTCAGCTTCTCCATATGAGGCCCAAAATATTTGTCCATTAACCTTACTGTGGCTTAACAGAACTTTTTATTACTTGATACAATGCCTCTGGAACCTAAATATAATTTAATTATGATACACAGGTGCATGAAGGGTTTCTAGAGCTAATAAAAGACATCACTGCCATGCAGGACCTATCGCAAGAACTCACAACCAGATGCAGAAATTCTTATAGTACTTAATAGCAATTTAGTTCATTTACTTTTAATATTGTGAATTGAATGCATGAACCTCACACTGAAATACATGTTTGTTTGCTTCCTTTTTTTAAATTTTGAAACAGGATCTCTCTATGTTATAGCATTGCCTGGCTGGCCATGAACTTGTGATACACCTGCCTCATCTTCTCAGGATCCTGGGATTATAAGTGGGCATCCCTCTGCCTGCCTCAGTTTAAGGCCTGTATGGTCTCTCCACTGAGTAGCTACATGACGAGGGTAAGACCCTGCACGTCTTAAGGTTCTTGCTTACATCCATGAATTAGGTTCAGGAGAGTCTCTGCACTGGGCTTAATGACCGATCTCTAAACTAGAGCTAGGATTCACCTGATATTTGGAATCTTCTAGAAAGCACTTGTGGATGGGATACCTGTGAAGACTGATACCAAATCCATCTACTTTGGGGTCAGAATGGAGCACTGAATATTTCAGTCTTGGTCCAAGTTGGATGTGGGTCTTCGAGTCCACCTGCTAGATAGGACCAGGACAGGACTGCCGAAAGGCATAGCCTCAGCCAGGTTGAGAATCATCCACTACATTTCTGATCTCTGCATGGCTAGAAGACTGAGCAGCAGTGCAAGGATGCAGGGTGAATGTGTTGGACCTGCATATGTACTAATAAATGAGAAAGCTTCCCATGGGGCTAAGGATGGGTCTGCAAGACCACCTCTCATCTATGTGTGTAGCTGAACCTGTTTCTGAACACAAGAAATCTCCTCCAGCACCTGCCCTGAGCCTGGCTGATTTACATAATAGGCAGCTCTCTGCAGCAAGGGGATAAGAGATGCCTGGGAAGAACTCACCCCAGCCAGGGCCTCAGGAAGGAGCATTCAGGACACCTCCACCATGGCCTGGACCATGCTTTTCATTGGCCTCCTTGCTCACTGCACAGGTGCTGCCCCAGGACCCTCATACTCCCACCCAGCCCAGGGCTCACCCCAGCTATACCCGGGTAAGTGTCTGAGGAACGGAGCTCTCATCACTACTCCCACATCTGCTTCCCTCTCTCCCTGCAGGCTCTGTGGCCTCCTATGTGCTGACGCAGCCATCTTCCATGTCAGTGTCTCTGGGAGAGACCATCAGCCTGACATGTGATGGAAACAACATTGGAGGTAGAAGAGTGCGCTGGTACCAGCAGAAGCCACCCCAGTGCCCCATGCTGGTCATGTATAGTGATAACAACCGGCCCTCGGGGATTCCTGACCGGTTCTCCGGTGCCAACTCAGGCAACCCAGCCACACTGACCATCACAGGTGCCCAGGATGAGGACGAGGCCGACTATTACTGTCAGGTGTGGGATAGTAACAGTGCTCACTCACAGTGACACAGACACATGGGGAAGTGAGACACAAACCTTGCTGCCATAGCCCCGCCCTGCAGAGACTGGAGAGAGGTTGCCACATAGAGAGGAAGTTTCTAGTCTGTCTTGCCCAGGCACCCAGATTCCTGAGATGAGGGCAGGGCAGGCTCCTGAAGCTCCCTGGGTGCTGCTGAGTCAATTGTTTTCAGGACTGCACATTTTAAACAAGTTTAACTGTCAATTCCATAATTCCAGAGATGTCAGACCAGCACCATGTCTGCAGGTGGGAAGGGAGAGTGACTCTCAACTGACGGCATCTTAGTGTCTCATTATGGTGAGGTCAGTTCAGCAGACTATGTTTTGGGAATGAGCACTTCAGTGGGTAAACACTGGTTTTGCAAGGAAGATAGATGTCAGGTACAGCAGTGACATAATAACACAGGTCATGAGAAAGTTTTGAACTGTTGATTGATTTGATCACCAAGGAATTTCCATGAGTGAAAACTGTGTGCTCATTGTGAACAACTGCTGATGTGGAGAACTATTTATCATAGAAGACTGGAAGCAAAATATGTGGCATTTACTGTCAACACCCTGTTCACCCAGGGCAGTCATGTTCTTGATTGAATATTGAAAGTGATACAAGTTTATTCAGTCACCAGCACAAAAAAGTACTCACTGCAGGTTGACAGCGACCACAGGAAAAGGAGATGTGGATATGTGTCACATGCACAGAGGGACAGAGACACACACTGTGTTGAGAAGTGATGGGTCATCTCAGTCATAAAAGATCAGTTCTCATGGTATGCACATTAAAGTATTACAGTCCTCTGAAATGATCACTCAGGTTGAGGACAGATGGGCATAACTTCCTCCCCCAAATCCACGTCATCCTGGGCTGGGCCACAAACAACAAAGATTGGGTCAGGCATCCACTCCAATTTCCAGCAGCAACCATAGTCTTCCCTGTCCATCTACAAGGTCATCTTCTCTCCCATCACCTTCACAGCCTTCTTCACCTCTGTGGTGTTCACTCCCTCTGTCCTGTCCAAAGCCTCCCCTCTGAATACCCAGGCTCTTTCCTATGCTCTTTGCCAGGCCCTGCATTTAAATTTCAGACCAGAACTTTCTATCCCAATCCATGTATAGGGCAGCCATGGGGCACCATTGTAACCCCCTGAGAAATCAGCCTTCTACAGAGCAACGTACATGTAAGGGATTCAACTGAGTTCTATAAGGACTTGTTCATTTTTTCCAGAAGCAACCTTGTGCACTCTGCATGGTCAGTGTGAGCCTGGGGTCCAAGTGGACCTCGTGGAACATGAGCTCCAGATGTTAACATCTTAACCACAAGTTGTGAAGCTGCAGGAGAAGGATGGAGGCCTCTTGCTCTATGTGAGTGGAACTCTGGCACTGGATATGCAATCTAAGTGACCCAGCATGTCCCTCCTGTTTTTATCTACCTCTAATACCCTCTGCAGCCATCTAGAGCTGCAGCTACTTAATATCAATCATTAACTCCAGAGCCTCACCCTTCCTGGGATAATGACAGAGGGCAGGGAGCCCTGCCAGTCTGTAAGTATAGGAGTCAGAGGTCTTGGGGACCTCCACCGTGACCTAGATCTCCCTTCTCTTCCTCAAAATCCACAGAGGCATCTTTCACAGGCACTCACCCAGGCTCACCTCCCACATAAAACTGCTCTGGCCATGATGCTGAGCTCAGCTCGACATGCCACTTGTTGGGATCCCTGAGAATGAACCCTGCAGTCTTCTAAACCTGCAGGCCTGGAGGCCTTCTAAGACTCTGCAGTACACAGTAGAGATGGCCATGAGAAATCTAACACCCTCCTTCTGAGGACAAATAAGCGTAGGTAACATTGTAGAGAGAAGCAGCAGGAGCCAGGCCAGCCCTGCACTGCACAGCACAGCAGCCTCCCCATTCTGCACAGGGTCTCCAGGTCTACCTGGGCACTTACCCCAAAGGCACACCACCTGCAGGCTGAGTGAGCTCCTAGGGTCAATCTGGTCATAATGGAGAATGAGCCAGGCTAGTGGACACAGCCCTTCTTCTCAACCAGGCCTTTGGGCTTTTTTCTCAAAGTACTGGTCCTGCTGGGGGCCAAAGAGACTAACACTGAATTCAGACACCCTGGCTCAGCTCTGGGACTGGACACTACTGTTCTCAGTTTGCTAGGCACTGGGTCTCTCTGGACCTCAACTTTATTTGCAGTGAGGTAAGAATATCTGTACAAATCATGAGAACTTCGTTTTTGTTTTCCAGATTAAGTGATAGAAATGTCCAAGTCTAATTACTTAGATTCCTAGGGTTGAGTTACTGACTCAGATATTAGAAGGTCCTGTGTCTTCATCAAAACCCAAGAACAGGACCCAGCAAGGGCTGATTCTGCTTCCTGGGAACAAATAACTGCAGGTCTTGATAAGCAGAACATCCAGTTTCACCAAAATTTCAGCCCAGATGAGGACAGCAAGCTGTACCTTGAAGAAAGGCTTTCTGATGACATAAAAATGATAGCAAAAATACTGATATGGTGACGGTGGTGTCATCTAAGGTATCATTGATCTCCAGTTACAGAAATCACTGATGTCACCTCTCATACCACAGCTGCCCCTATCGCGGTATAGGGATCTTCAGTTTCTCATTCTAAGCAAAGAAAAATTCTGAGACCTAATGTTGCAAATCACATTTTCAGGCCCTCCCTGTTTCTTGAAAAGGTGCGTATTTTACCTTGCATTCTCTATTTAACAACAAGAAAAATTGATTTCAACACAAGGGCAGGATGACAGGGCCTACTGACCTCCCCTCCCAGTGCAAATGACACCTCTGTGTCCTGTGGTGCTGAAAAGCATTAACTCTGTCAGTACCATCTCAGGGGCCTGGAGTTTGGGATCATCTGAAAGAGGGAAGCTCCTCTTGAGTCTCCCCCTCTAGCAGAAGGCATTAGAGTTGCATCCAGGAGCAAGCAGAAGAGATGTTGTGTCAGATTGGGGAGTCCCAGAAAGAGGCCTGTGGTAGGATATTAGTGTGTGTCCAAGGCCCAGGCTTTAGACTAGAATACAGGACAGTTTATCCTCTAATCTGTGGTGCACTAATTATATTCTGAAAGTCATTCAAAAAAATGTCACCCCAGGACCCTGACAAGACACAGGGCACATTAGGGCCTCACCTGGGAAATAAACCTGAAGAGCACAGTGGGAGCTGTCATCCTGATACTTCTGGAAGGACTGCAGTCTGTAGGGAAACCACAGCAGAGTCCAGATGCTTTAGGAGGATCTCAGTGTGAGCGGTCATGGTTTCAAGGGCCTGTGTCCTACACCTAAGCCACCTGCCTGGGCCTGCTGCCCACTGCTGGGGCACCGTCTCTTAGTACCTGAACATAGCGCTGACCCCTGTGCCCTGGTCACTCTCAGGTTCACAGCCCACTCTCTCTTGGCCTCTCTTCTACTACTATGCAGATCAGCCCTCAGGCTGCAGCTCCTGTGCTCAGGTGCAGTCTCAGATGGGAAAGAGGAGTTAAGGTCCCTGTTTTTATCTATTGTTTCATGGCATGTCATTTAACATTTGAAACCAGGACATTGGGCTATCCTCTAAGCTATAGAAAGTTCTCTTTCCTTTGGCAAAACTAAATCATGGCAACTCTGACTTGGAAACTAAGATTCATAGTATAGCTGTGTGTAGTCTATTAGGAATATATTTTGAAACCCACCAATCATTGTAGCCACAAATCAAAACATAAAACGACAGGGGGCTTAAAATGGCTGATTAGAAGCACCCAACATTCACCTGCTTTTGTACAAGTAGAAATGAAGACAACCAAAAAATGAGTGTCAGAAGGACAGAAATCCCAGAACCATAACCGAAGTACACCACCTTTGGTCTTCAAATAGTACAGCTAAATTGGAAAATCTCAAGCCCAAGGAATTAGGTTTGTCCCGGGTCTATGCAGGATAGGATTGCAGTCTGGTGCAGCTCCAGCCTCAGAGGCCCCAAGCTTACAGTTCAGTCCTGCTGGGCCAAATACAGTGGCCCTAGATTTAGTCACCTTCTAGTTTGGCAATAGATGAAGAGCCTCCAGTTTGTGGAACACCAACTTTTCTGCACAGCCTTACTATTGAAAGACATTTCCAAAAGCTAGAAAGTATGGACTGCCCTAAGCCCCTCTTTCTTCAGTGTGTAGATATCTACTCATGCCCTCAGGGATCTGGGACTCATGAAAGAAACATTACACCATTAAGTGAGCCACATCTGGTGCCCATGAGTAATGCTAATGGTGGAAAATATTAACTGCCTTACCAAGATTTAAAAGTCTCTGTTTAAGGAAATACAATGAATTTCAAAGTACACAGAAGCAATTCAAAGACAAGGGGATGACAATAAGTGGTTAAAAGAAAAACTGAACACAGGTTCAAATAAAACCGATCATTAAAAATCAAATAAAATCCAGGTTAAGATGTGTTTTCAAAGAGACTCTGTTTAATGGCTGCTTGAGGCAAATCTCAAACTTTGCCTAATTCTAAAATGTCTTTTTTGCAGGACTATCCTGGTTTATGTCAGTGGCCCCTAGGCCTCATGCATTTGCATTATGCATTTGTGATTGGTTCATTGTCTAGTGCTTGGATTGGGGGTGTGAGTGCTAGGGAGGAGCCAGGATGTAACGGTAATGGCAGGAAGAATGTGTGTCTAACTCTTTTCCAGGTTTCTGCCTTGATGTTTGCAGTCACTATGAACTGGGGCTCAGCCATGCCACCCTGCCTTGGAGCCCACTGAGTATGCACTGAAACCTCCAAAAACTATAAGAAATAAACATTTCCTTTCTCAACTTTGGGCTTCAGGTATTTTGTTTCAACAATGAGTAAAAAGTAAGTAAGATTTTTGCATCTATCTTCATTAGGGAGATTGGTCTGTAGTTCTCTTTTTTAGTTGGGTCTTTCTCAGGTTTTGGTACTGGAGTAATATTTGCTTGCAGGAATGACTTAGGAAGGATTGCTTCCCTTTCAATTTCATT